CATCCCAAATGCTGCAACTAAGACCTGGTACAGCCAAACAAACAAATAAATATTTTTGAAAAAAAGAAAAACGTCCTTCACTTATATAAGTGATGATCTCTCCCTTTCCCATTGTAATCACTTCCATGCGGCAAGAGCTGTCATATACCTATACTCACAGGACACCCCTTAAGCCTTCTCATTTCTGGTTCAACTTGAAAAAGCTGCTCTGTAGCTGTGTATAGTCACTGGACACCTTGGGCCTCCGAGTGACAGGTGTGGTCCCTCCTGAGCTGAGCATTCTATGAAGTGGTGAGGAGCAGCGCCTCTCTAACTTGAGTGTGCCTCAGTGAGAAGCTTTACTGAAAGTCCGGATTCTGAGACCATAGTAACAGAAGAATATTGGTCTAAGGATCAGAATGGGTCTGCCATCCTGGCTCTCCTACTTAACCTATGACCTTGGCCAAAGCAGATGACCTTACCCATTAAAGTGGTACGGCTGTAATGATTAAATGAGAACACAACTGTGTGTGCAAAAGTAGCTTGCAAACTGCTAAGAGAAACTGCAGAACTTAATCATTTGTTGTGTGAAGTCCTGTCCTTTTCCAGACCAACACCAATACTGAGGTGCTCATTTAAAGGACTAGGGTTCCATACTCTGCTTGCTTCGCTACTTGACCTTAGAGCAAAGGAAATGAGCTTTTAGCCTTGGCAGTAGCCAAAAGGAGAGGTCACTGCTTGAAATCCATAAACTCACTGTGCATTTGCTGAATAAGAATGCAGAAAGAAGGATCCGGAAATCCCAGTATTACCAATTCCCTTTTTGGATCTCAGAGGTTTGGAAACTCATAATAGCAATACCACGTATTGGGAGGCAGTATCATGAGGGGATTAAGAGCAGAGGGTCTGGAATTGACCTGCCTGTGTGTGAGTGCTGGCTTTAGCCCTTAGTATCTGTATGACTTGTCAACAGACTTCTCCTCCCTGGATCTCAGAGTCCTCACCTGTAAGATGGTGATAATAATCACAGACACCTCCCAAGACTGTTGAGAGCCTCCAGTGATGTAGCATGAGAAAAGTATTTTAGAGAAGTATTTAGAGAGCACATGGTAAATATTCAGTGAGTGGTGGCTGTATTTTTATAAAGCTTTTGCTGTGTGCTGGCCCTGTGCTAAGAAGTCTGCATGGATTTTTAAAATTTAAAACATTTTTTAAAAAGCATTTATTTATATATTTGGCTGCACCGGGTCTTAGTTGTGGCCCATGGGCTCTTTAGTTGTGGCAGTGGGATCTAGTTTCCTGACGAGGGATCAAACCCAGGCTCCTGGCACTGGGACTGCAGAGTCTGAGCCACTGGACCACCAGGGAAGTCCCAGATTATTTCATTTAACCTTTACAAAACCCTTTGCAGTAAAACTATTGTTATTCCCATTTTATGGATGAGGAAACTGAGACTCTGGCATGCACTAACTCTCTCAAAGTTGTAGAGTTAGCGGTAGAACCAGGACTTGAACTCCAGCCTCTCTAACTGGAATCTATGTTCTCTAACATGTCCCACTGTATCTGGTAGTGTAAGCAGGTGGATGTCTCTTTTTTCCTGAAGAAAGCAGTGAGAAAGTGGTAGGTAAAATGCCTGAGATTCGAGTTAGCCTCCTAGGAAGGCCCTATGAGCACAGTAACATGTATCCTAAAAGCTGGATTATCGGATGATCAGGGATCGTGAACACTTTGGGAAGAGGTCTTTTCCTTGTTGAACAGCTTTAAATCGAAGGTCCCATCCCCTTTATGGCCAAAGTAGACTTGCAGTGTGGCTGGGAAATAGTGTTCAAGGCCAGAAGCCCAGGGGAGTGCTCTAACTGAACACTTCTTGAAATGAAGACCTCGTCTTGCCACCCGCAGTCACTTGTTTCCTTTCTTCACTCACCATTCTTTTAGTTAAAAAGGGTTAAAAGCTGTCCTTTATGATCACAGCCAGGACTCGAGTGAAAAGGCAGAATTCCACCTCCCAGGATCCCAGAGGGGCAACAGTTGTCCAGAAGAGCTGAGTCTTGGAGGATAATGTGTCTGTTTACTGTATGAACACCCAAGCCAAGACTTTGCCTGTCGCCGGCTGCCTGACCTTCACATGCCGACGTTCAGATGTTGCTCTGACAGGCAGGAAGTCGTGCCTTTTCAACAACCAACTTGATGCCCACCGGATGGAATGCTTTGTTTCAAAGTCTGCAGGGGGAACTCAGGACTTCTGCTATCACTCAGCCAAAGGGGGTTGGGGAGGCTTAAAAAAAAAAAAATCCCCTGAAGGCTCTTCTCTACCTACTGAATTCCTTTTTTTAAAAAATTAATTAATTAATTTATTATTTTTGGCTGTGTGGGGGCTTTTCTGTAATAGTTGTGAGCGGGGGCTACTCTTCCTTGCAATGCGTGGGCCTCTTACCACGCTGGCTTCTCTTGCAGGGCACAGGTTCTAGGCGTGTGGACTCAGTGGTTCTGGCACAGGCCCAGCTGCTCCGCCTCATGGGAGAATCCTCCTGGATCAGGGATCGAACCCATTCCCCTGCATTGGCAGGCAAATTCTTAACCACTAGCCTGGATTTCTTTTGATTTGCAGGTAGCCTAAGATGCTGCTGTGCTTGATCCTGGTACTCAGGTTCTTAGCATCAAGGCCTTTTAGGAAAAAAAGCTAGCCCCCAAATCCTCACATTCCCGCACCTCCAGCCTGCGCTTCTGGAGCATCCTTGGCGTGCCCAGGCATGAATCAGCCTCTCCCACATTCATCCTCTCATCCAAGTCTGTGGCTTTTTTATACACCAGGCTAAGGGGGCTGTGGTACTTAACACAAGGTAGGGCAACTGGTCAGGGGGACCCAGCTCTGTCCGCTGCGGGTCCAGAGTTTTTTCCTCCTCCCCTCTCTCCCGTGCCTTCTCTTGTCCATTCTGGTCATCCCCTTACCCTGATCGCCTCCGTGGTGTGGCCCTGCTCCCTGCTCTGTGGGGTTAGCAGTATTTCTCAACCTCCCATTGACATTTTAGGCCAGATAACTTCTTTGTTTGGGGGCACCTGTCTTGTACATTGTGGAATATTTAGCAGCATCTGTGGCCTTTATCCTCTGAATTCTATCCGCGTCACCAGTTACAACCAAGAATGTCATCACACATTGCCAAATGCCCCCCAGGGAGAAAAAACATCCTTCACTGGGAACCACTGTGACAGCTTATTCTTCCTCTTCGTCATTCCTCCCCGCGAAGGGGGTCAGTGTCTTGGTGAGCCCCATGGCATGGAGTCCTCTGGAGTACTTAGTTATTGCTCTTTCATCCCAGCCGGAGTCCCTAAAAGCAGTGCTTATAGCTGTGATGAGCTGATCACACTTAGAGAAGTTTCTCAGGCTCTCGTGCCCAGGGTCTAAGTGAAAAAAAACCCCAAAAACCCATTCCTTCTCAGTGTTCTCAGAACAGGCCAGAGAGGAGGGGACTGGGGCTTCGGTGCTTGCCTGGGAAGAATCCTCCATCCTATACTTGCAGGGAGACCTGGAGAGACAGGCGTGCTGGCCTTGGAGTAGAGATACAGCTTCTCTCAGATGGATTCTTCTGGCTTCTGCAGGAAATCCTGCATTTTTTCTAGGGCAGCCAATTCCCTTAGCATGTGGAAGGCGAGGGCAAGACCTCTGTTGAAGGTGGGGTGAAAGCTATGGTCCTTCACTCCAGAAACATACCTTTTGCCAGAGGTTCACGGATCACAAAGGCTGGCTGTCCCCCCCCCCATCCATCTGCAGGTTAGGGACCCCTGCTTTCTGCTTATACTTGTCCTGAGGGGTGGACGTGGAGAGGGAGGGGTCTAGGGAACAGCAGTCCTTTGCTTTTGGTGGGAACAGCAATCCACCCTTTCATTCTGGGCCCTGAACCCTAAAGCTGGCCCGAGAAACATAATGTGAAGTGAGGATGGATGTCAAGGAGATGAGCCAAGAGAGGGACGCTGGGCCCGGGAAATAGGAAAGGAAGCAGGGTGGCATTTGGGAGCTGACTCCTTCCCCATTCCAGCCCAGCCCGAGGGCAGCGCCCAGCGGAGGGGAGGACAAGGAGAAGAAAGCAAGTGGGGGAGATGAGCAAGGGAGAGTGGCCCCGTCCTTCCCAGCTGCAGCAGCCCAGCGGGTTAGATGAATGCTGGGGGGGCGGGGAAGAGTGACCCTGGCAGAACCCTTTGTTCCAGCTGAGGCTGGAGCGGGGGCACCGAGCCATTCACACGCCATCCCAGGGCATCCTGCTGGGCACGCTGGGGAGGGGGCGCAGCGGCCGGTCATGGGACTTGGCCAGGCAGATAGCTGGATGCTCAATAGGGAAGCCCAGCTGCGTGCTGCGGGGGCTGGGGGCGGGGCGGCCCCTGCCATCCTTCCTCCAGGCCGTGGCCAGGCCCACAGACAGGAAGCCCCCACCCCGCAGTCGCTCTGCCCCAAGGCAGCCTGGTCCCCCCCATCCCCCACCCCGTCCCCCCTTCTCCTGGTCGCCCTTGTTAGAGGTGCGCTCTGACTGTAGGACTCCCAGAAGTGTCTGCTGCTTCCTGCTCCCCGGTGTGACTTCTTATCCCCAGAAGGGGCTCCAGCATTTTAATTCAGTGTCCCCCTCCTGAATAGAGGCGAGAGCATCCATAACGCCGCCTGGTTTTGGAGGGAAGGGCCTGGAAGCCTTTGTGCATCGTCCTCCTCTCCCTGGCTCCCTTTCCTCAGGACCACTAGCCCCGCAGCTGGTGTCATTGTCTCTGGGCCTTTGCGGGTGGGCAGAAAACCCTGTCATAGAGGGGAGACCTGGGCCGTCTGTGAGCCCAAAGTCAGAGGGTATCTTCTGGACCATTTGTGCCTAGAGGAGGGGGGAGGCACCATGGCATCATCCATATCTCCCTGCAGTCGTCTCCCTGACCTCCTAGGTAACAGCGCCCCTAGACTTGGCGCCTCTACCTTGCCCCCCAACCCCGGAATGGATTTTGGTGGGCTGGGAGCTGAGCCCTCACTGGTTCCTCTTCTCTCTGCCCAGGACTGGCCAGCAGTCCCGAGTGTGCCTGTGGTCGGAGCCACTTCACGTGTGCGGTGAGCGCCCTCGGAGAGTGTACCTGCATCCCTGCGCAGTGGCAGTGTGATGGAGACAATGACTGCGGGGACCACAGCGATGAGGACGGGTGTAGTAAGAACTCCTCCCCCCGCCCCGGGCTCCTGGGAGGGTGACAGATATGCACAGGTGGGAGGTTTCTTCACAGTGTGTACGACTTTAACCCTCCCGTATTTCCCATATTTCCACACGCATACAGTCATTAAATGGTAGCTCAGCTGGTAAAGAATCCACCTGCAATGCAGGAGACCCCAGGTCGATTCCTGGGTTGGGAAGATCCCCTGGAGAAGGGATAGGCTGCCCGCTTCAGTATTCTTGGGCTTCCCTGATGGTTCAGATGGTAAAGAACCCGCGTGCAATGTGGGAGACCTGGGTTCGATACCTGGGTTATTGGGAAGATCCCCTGGAGGAGCGCATGGCAACCCACTCCAGTATTCTTGCCTGGGGAATCCCCATGGACAAAGGAGCCTGGCCGACAGTCCTGGGGTCGCAAAGAGTCGGACACAACTGAGCGACTGAGTGCACCCAACATAGCTACTAAACCAGACTTTGAAACAAGCGTAGGAAAAAAACAGCCTTGAATAGATCTCTGTATTTGTGTGCATGTGTATTTGTGTTGCATATTTCTACATTTTTAAATGTGCACACTACACGTGGATGAAGAGTATTTGTTTCTTACGTTGGTGTATTCTGTGTAATCACACCTTTTTTATTTTATTTTTTTTTTATTTTTTAATTTTTTTATTTTATTTTTTTTTAATAAACAAAGATTTAATTAAATTAGTTTATTTACTTAACTGTGCTGGGTCTTTGCTGCTGCATGAGGGCTTTCTTTCTTTATTTTTTTTTCTTTTCCATTTATTTTTATTAGTTGGAGGCTAATTACTTTACAACATTGCAGTGGTTTTTGTCATACATTGAAATGAATTAGCCATGGATTTACATGTATTCCCCATCCCGGTCCCCCCTCCCACCTCCCTCTCCACCCCAACACCTTTTTAAATAACATAAACTTGGTGAGAAATTTTATATTCTTGTTAAGTCTCCCCTTTGCCCTAGTGCAATAACAAACACAACAGGCTAGGGTGTCCTGGATACATGTCTTGGATATGTAGCAATATGGCTCCTGAGCCAGTTACTTCTCTGGGTTCCAGGGTGTGGCCCTCACCCCTGCAGACCTACCTCTGAGGGAGGCTAATTAGTCTCATAAGAGTGAAGCTACAGCCTGGACCTTATTACCCCTGACCAGTTTAGCTAATTGCGATGATGGTAAATGGCTCACTTTCATGGAGCACTTTCATATGCATTATCTCAAAAGGCCTCTCTGAGTCAATTATAATTATCCCCATTGTACAGTCGGAAGAACCTGGAGCTAAGAGAGGGTATCTGGCTTGTGTGATAAAAGTAATGAGTTCTAGAACTTGACATCGAGCCCAGGCGTGTCAGTCATCATTTAATAGGAGGAAGCGGGGGGAATACATTTGTTTCTCTTCATGTTTTCCTTCACTGCTTTCCTGGTGATTCCTCGGACCCTTCTGTCCTGTGAACCCCTGACCACCGCTCCCCAAGGAAGCTCTCTCCTCTTGGCTGCTGTTTCTGCCTGCTTCTCTGTTAGTGGGGCCCGGGGGCAGTTGGAGGAGCCAGTGAGGAGGGACCGTAATTCAGACAGGGCCAGAGGGGAGGATGGGGCCTGCCTCTGAGTCAGTGCCCCGCACTGACCCCTGCTTCCCTCCCCTTCCCGGGGCTCAGAGCTGCCCACCTGCTCCCCTCTCGACTTTCACTGTGACAACGGCAAGTGTATCCGCCGCTCCTGGGTGTGCGATGGGGACAACGACTGCGAGGATGACTCGGACGAGCAGGACTGTCGTGAGTGCTGGGCAGGGCTGGGCGGCTTCCACTGGGCTTGGCGGGGAAAGGCGTTTCAATCAGAAAATGAGGCCCCAGTTTTTCATCATTGACGATAATGTTTGCTGTGGGTTTGTCACATATAGCTTTTACTATGTTCAGGTATGTTCCTTCTATTCCTACTTTCTGGAGGGTTTTTATCATAAATGGATGTTGAATTTTGTCAAAGGCTTTCCCTGCATCTATTGAGATAATCATATGGTTTTTAATCTTTCAATTTGTTAATGTGGTGTATTACATACATGCATGGCTGATTCATGTCAATGTATGGCAAAACCACTAAAATACTGTAAAATAACTAGCTTCCAATTAAATAAATTAAAAATAAATAAATAAATAAAAAGAAAACGAGGCCCCAGCCCATGGTCTTTGGCTCTTGTCCTTCCACCTCCTCTCTCGGCTTATCTAAGCACCCCCCCCCCCCGGGGGTAGGGGACAGCCAGCTCCCGGCTCCCTAGGGCAGCATCGGAGCTGCTCTGCCCCACCAGTCCGGGCGCTGGCCCCCCTCCCCTCCCCGGCCTGCAGCAGCCTGACCGCTGTGCCCACAGCCCCCCGGGAGTGTGAGGAGGACGAGTTTCCCTGCCAAAACGGCTACTGCATCCGCAGCCTGTGGCATTGCGATGGCGACAATGATTGTGGCGACAACAGCGATGAGCAGTGTGGTGAGCGGTGCTCCCGGGGGGCGGCGGGGGGTGGGCAGGGAGGCTGGTGGGTGGCCTGGCCTTGGCAGGGGCAGGAGCCTCAGAGGCCCTAGCACTGCCCAGTGCTTGAACTGCCCGGCTGTCTGGAGCAGCTGGGGGAGAGCAGGACGGGAAGACGGGGCTGACACCCCAGGGACCATAGAACGGGAGCCTGAGGCCAGTCTCTCTGGGGCCTCTTCTTTCCCCTCAGGAGTCTATGCTGAACCCGCGGAGTCTTGCAGGGCCTGGGTCAGACTCCCAGGGGGCAGCGAGGATGGGAGTCAGGGAGGATGCCAGGAGGGTTCCCCGTGGGGCTCCTGCAGGGTTGCTCTCCCATTGTGTCCCCCCCGCCCCGCCCCCAGACATGCGCAAGTGCTCAGACAAGGAGTTCCGCTGCAGCGATGGAAGCTGCATTGCTGAGCACTGGTACTGCGACGGAGACACCGACTGCAAAGACGGCTCCGACGAGGAGAGCTGTCGTGAGTGGCCCCGGGACGCAGGCTGCCGGGCTGGGCTGGGGGCAGAGGGCGCCAGTCGGTGGGCTGAGGGCCAGGCCGAGGAGTGAAAGGACAGCGCGGGGCCGGCTGGGAGGGTGGGTTCTTAGGCAACAGCTCCTCCTGGGCGGGGCCGGGAGGGAACAAGTGCCCCAGGTGAGAAGGGAGGCCTCCCTTTGGTCCTCTGGCATATGGGCGTGTATCAGGGCCATGCCCAAGTTAACTCGGCTTCTGTGTCTGAACGCCTGGCCCCTTGGAGGAATCTGGGCCCCTCTCCTCTGAGGGGGCCTGAGTGCGTGCCCCTCCCCGCCTTGTCCTCCTTGCAGCCTCAGCAGTGCCAGCACCCCCCTGCAACCTGGAGGAGTTCCAGTGTGCCTACGGCCGCTGTATCCTCGACATCTACCACTGCGATGGCGATGACGACTGCGGAGACTGGTCTGACGAGTCTGACTGCTGTGAGCACGCTGGCCAGCAGGGTGGAGGAGGAGAGGCCAGGCTGGGAGGAGCTCCTGGGGGAGGCGGGGGTGAGGCCAGCTGGGGCAGGAGCTCAGGAGAGGAACTTCTAGAGCCCCTGGTTCCCTACGGGGTCAACATGGAGGAGCCGGGGTCCGGGGCTGTGACTTCCTGGTCCACTGTGGGACACTGCGTGCGCGGACTGGCTAAAGACGGAAGCCTGGCATGTCTCCCCAGCCTCCCACCAGCCCTGCCGCTCTGGCGAGTTTATGTGTGACAGCGGCCTGTGCATCAATGCGGGCTGGCGCTGTGACGGCGACGCGGACTGTGATGACCAGTCTGATGAGCGCAACTGCAGTGAGTGGGGGGCAGTGCCAAGCTCTGGGCCGGAAGCAGAGAGGCCACCTCTGATAAAGCTCCAGGATAGTTAAGACAGGTCCACCATGTACAGTTGTGTAGGTTGGGCACTGCACAAAGGTACTAGGTCCAAAGAATGCCAGTCCCACAATAGACATATATTCTATAATTCTCTAGATTTATATAGTCATCATGGCAGTTTTCCAGCAGATGGCAGTAAAATGTCAAGGAAAAGACACCTTCTGATTCTCACAGAGATGCCATAGAGACCAACTGTGATGCTGGTGTCCAGAAGAGTGTCAAAGGGATTTCACTGTGGTCTAGTAGTTAAGATTTAGCTTCAAAGACAGGGGGTGCTGGTTTGAGACAAGGGGTGCCGGTTAGATTCCTGTTTAGGGAGTTAAGATCCCTCTTGCCTCCTGGCCAAGAAACCTAAAACAGAAACAACATTGTAACAATTCAATACAAACTTTAAAAATGGTCCAAAAAAAGAAAAATGGTTCACATCAAAAAAAAATAAATCTTAGGAAAAAAAGAAAAGTGGAGTGGGCGCTGGCATAAAGTGCAGCCTGGGGTGGCAGGGTGGGGCTTCGGGCTAAAGCGGGGTCAACTTTTCATCAGCCTGTGCTTTGCCCAGCCACCTCGGTGTGTACGGCGGAACAGTTCCGCTGCCGGTCAGGCCGCTGCGTCCGTCTGTCCTGGCGCTGTGATGGGGAGGACGACTGTGCGGACAACAGCGATGAAGAGAACTGTGAGAACACAGGTGGAGTGTCCCTGGAGAACCCCAGGCCCCTTAACCCATAGTTAGGCTGGAGGAAGGAGGTGGGAAGAGGGTGTTACTGCGCCTCTCCAGTTGGGGCAACGTGGTGCTTTCATCAGGTCATTCCCTGGATTTTTCCTGCTTGTCTCGGTTACCAGTGTCAAATCAGGTTTATCTGTTGACCCTCGGTCTCACGGCCTGGAACACAGTATCAGGGCCGGGAGTTTCAATGGCCTCACATTCTTACTCACATGCAGCCCGTGCTCTGTTGCTCTGGCCTCACAAGCAAGGACTAGTCTCCAGCGGACAGCCCTACGCCCCCTCCCCTAGCCGCGCAGGTGCCAGACACATGCGTGGGCTCCCTCACTCTGCCCCGCGTCCCATCTCACCGTGGCACTGTGCTGTCCTGGGGAGAGCACGCACGCAGACAGCCCAGTCTGAGCTGTTTTCTGCCCTGGACCCCGACCCTCCGACCTTGAGTCTCCTCTGTCTCCAGCCCGCCCTAGAAAATGACAGGCTCCCATCTTTTTTTCGTTGACCCAAGCCCCGTCAGCCCTGCCCGGCGCTGACCTGGCTCTCCTTCCCTCCCCATCTTCCTCTCTAGGAAGCCCCCAGTGTGCCTCGGACCAATTTCTGTGTTGGAACGGGCGCTGCATCGGGCAGAGGAAGCTGTGTAACGGGGTCAACGACTGTGGGGACAACAGCGATGAGAGCCCACAGCAGAACTGCCGTGAGTGTCCCCACCCCGCTCCCCGGGTGTGCCCACCCATGGTTTGTGGCTGCGCCCCACCCATCTGCTTCAAGAGAGTCCTCCCCAGGGACGCGTGCAGCCCCGGGAGCTGTTCTTCGTGGCCCAGGTGGAATGCCAAGTTGGCCGTCTGGGGGAGGATTCCGGGCTCAACTCCGATCTCTGGCTTGGCTGGCACAGGGCCCCGGACGGGTGAAGAGAACTGCAGTGTTAACAACGGCGGCTGCGCCCAGAAGTGCCAGATGGTGCGGGGGGCCGTGCAGTGTACCTGCCACACCGGCTACCGGCTCACCGAGGACGGCCGCACCTGCCAGGGTGAGCGGGGGCCCCCCGGGCAGGAGCAGGGCCGGGCGGCTGCGTCAACCGTGGGTCAGGCCTCTGAGAGACGTGACCGTGTGTCATCATCTCAGTAGCCCGGGGAGCTGGGGATTGTTGTCCGTCTCATTTCGAAGGCGGGGGGTGGGGGTGGGGAATGAAAGCTCAGAGAGGTTATCAGTTACTGAAGGTCGCAGAGCCGATGAATGGCAGAGTTGGGATCCCAGCCCAGCTCGAAGCCCTTAACCACTTGCTCTGTAGTCTTCCCGCTGGACCTGGGACGTAGGAGGGTGTGTGGGCAGGAGAGAGCTAGTCAGCCTGCGAGCTGGGGCTGGAGGACGGCAGAACCGAGATCTCCTGCCCTCGCTCCGTCGTCACAGATGTGAACGAATGTGCCGAGGAGGGGTACTGCAGCCAGGGCTGCACCAACAGCGAGGGGGCTTTCCAGTGCGGGTGCGAAGCGGGCTACGAACTCCGGCCCGACCGGCGCAGCTGCAAGGCTCTGGGTAAGGGGGGCGGGGCCTGGCATTCGGCTGGGTGGGCTGAGGGCTGAGCAGGGCAGCCAGGGGCTCTGGTGCTTGGAGACGGGTAGAGAGTTAGAGAGATGGTTCTTTTTTTTTTTTTTTTTTGCCTTTTAATTTTATATTGGGGTGTAGCCAATTAATGAGTGTGAGCAAATTCTGGGAGATGGTGAAGGATAGGGAAGCCTGACGTGCTGCAGTCCATGGGTTCGCAAAGAGTCAGACACGACTGAGCGACTGAACAACAAAATCGTCAATTAACAATGTTGTGATAGTTTCAGGTGCACAACAAAGGGACTCAGCCATACATGTACATGTATCCATTCCCCCCCAAACTCCCCTCCCATCCAGGCTGCCACGTGATATTGAGCAGAGTTCCTTCTGCTATATAGCAGGTCCTTCTTGGTTATCCATTTTAAATAGAGCAGCATGTACATATTCATCCCAAACTCCCTAACTATTCCCTCCCTATATCCTTCCTCCCCGGGGACCATAAGTTCGTTCCAGAGAGATGTTTCCATCGCAATAAAATGGAGTTGTGAGTTGAATCCTGGGCCCCAAGAATGGGATGAGATGTACGCTTTGCAGGCTGCCAGTCTTCTCGTAATGATGGATGCTGACAGCTTGGGACATGCCCTAGTGGGCCAGGGGGCCCCTTGGAGCTGGGGGGGGGTGCATGCTGATGGCTGCCAGGGGGCAGCTCTGGAGCCCAGTGGGGGCCCCATTTCTATGCCACGTCCCAGGGCCGGAGCCTGTGCTACTGTTCGCCAATCGCATCGACATCCGGCAGGTGCTGCCGCACCGCTCCGAGTACACGCTGCTGCTCAACAACCTGGAGAACGCCATCGCCCTGGACTTCCACCACCGGCGCGAGCTTGTCTTCTGGTCCGACGTCACCCTGGACCGGATCCTCCGCGCTAACCTCAACGGCAGCAACGTGGAGGAGGTTGTGTCTACAGGGCTGGAGAGCCCAGGTAAGGAACGAGGCTCCGTGGGGAGAGGCAGGGCCGCACCATGTGCAAAACCACCGAGGAAGGAACACGTTAGTGGCCACAAACCTTTAGGCAGCAGAACATCTCACGGTGAAACCTTGCATGGAACTCTAATACAGACAATGTTCATTACTCTACATTCATTTTATAGGCTCAGATTTGTAATATTTGCTCGGTATTGAGCTCGATCAGTGAGAATACTGAGACCATTTCGTTGAATGGAACCATTTGAAACCAGAGATCTGTGGATGACAGGTGTAATTCTCTATCAGCCTGGCATCCCATCTAATTCTGACTTTCATTTTGATTACTTCGTATTAGGAATATTCTGATGGACCCAGATAGATAGCATCCAAATGTTTGCAGATTAGAAAAACAGTAGCTCACTCTGCCATCTCAGGCCATTCGACAAGCAGGGGAAGTGGGTTAGAATTTGGTATTGATTAAGCACATTTGACTCAGATGCTTATGGAACTGATGATGTTCCTCTGTAAAACCCTGAGGCACAAATTACAAACCCCGGGGCCAGTGGGGGTCAGGGAGCTAGGATTCTGGAAGTGGAGTATGATTGGCTGAGAGGAGGAAATGCACGACCTCGGACAGTTACTTGAGTTCTTTGCCTCAGTTTCTTCATCCTCATGGGGATTATTATAGCACCTAACTCACACAGTTGTGACGATTCAAGGTAAAACGTGTGTTTGTAAAATGGTGAGAAGAGTGCCTTGCCCAAGAAACAGCTTCGTGCAAGAGTTGCCCTTGTTTCTGTAGCACAGAGGGGCCCTGGCTGAACCCCTGACCCTCTTTGCATGGCCTCTTTCCACCAGGGGGCCTGGCTGTGGATTGGGTCCATGACAAACTCTACTGGACCGACTCGGGGACCTCAAGGATTGAGGTGGCCAACCTGGACGGGGCCCACCGGAAGGTGCTGCTGTGGCAAAACCTGGAGAAGCCCAGGGCCATCGCCTTGCACCCCATGGAGGGGTGAGCGAGCTGGGACTCCAGCTACCACATCCTCTCACAACCTTTAGGGACATTCCTCCGCCACCCGGGCCAGACTTTACTGGGGGGCGGGGGGACCTCACAGTGTGATGTTCACAGCCTTGGCTCTGCACCCAGACGCACCTGGGTTTCCAGCTCTTCGGTAACTGACTGTATGGCCTTAGGCTGGTTCATCTCTCTAGGCTTCCATTTTACTCATTTCTAAACTGGTGATAAAAATATACCTACCTCACAGCTGTGTGAAGATGAAATGATGTGATGCATTTTAAATGGCATGACATACATTATATAAGTGGTAGCTGTTTCATATTTTTGTTATTAGTTTATAGGGTTGAGCTAATTAATAAAAATCAATAATTTTATTATTAGAAGAAAGTAGAAGAAAGGTCTTTTGTAGGGGAAGTTCTTTGCCTCTGGCTTTTAAAAATTAAGTGCAATCAATTGAGAGGTGTGTCTTCTAAGATCCTACCGTTATAGATTAGCTCTTTTAGAAACAGTGTGTGTGTGTGTGATGTATGGTGTGTGTGTGTGTGTGTGTGTGTGTGAAAATTACAAAAGGCAGAGGTAGAGACTGTGAGCAAGAAGAAGATGCTTGTCCTAAGTAGTATCCCACTAGTATTTTTTTCAGTTTCACAAGGTCAGGATTTTTATGTTTTGTTCACTGCCATGCTCTCAATGCCAAAAGATAGATATGTTCATCTCATAGCGGACACTCCAAAATTTTTTTGTTAAATGAATACGTTCTTTGTCTAGAGACATTTAAATTTAAGCATTGAGGCACTTCCCTGGTGTTCCTGTGGTTAAGATTCTGTACTTCCAATGCAGAGGGCATAGGTTGGATCCCTGGTCAGGGAACTAAGAATCCACATGCCACGCGATGTGGCCCAAAATTTTTTTTTAATAATAATAAAGAATTCGAGCATTGAAAAACGCTCTGTAAACCCAGGAGAATGTATTTCCTACCAGCTGGAGTCCCCTGGGTGAAACTGATAAGAGCCCTGCCTGACGCTGGGTACCTTACCTGCCTTCTACTGCGTGCCTCTCAATGTCCTTTTCTCTCTTCCCAGGACCATTTACTGGACAGACTGGGGCAACACCCCCCGCATCGAGGCCTCCAGCATGGATGGCTCTGGCCGCCGCATCATCGCTGACACCCATCTCTTCTGGCCCAACGGCCTCACCATCGATTATGCCGGGCGCCGTATGTACTGGGTGGACGCTAAGCACCACGTCATTGAGAGGGCCAATCTGGATGGGAGTCACCGCAAGGCTGTCATTAGCCAGGGTGAGGCCCCTCCTTCACTCTCCTTCACCTCTCGTCCTGCTTAGCCTGTCCCAGCCCCCAGAAGCCTTTGGCAGAGGGTGAGGTTTGTGCGCTGCCAGGCCGGGGCCCGGGGCCGGCCGGACCGGCCGTGTGTAGACTGAGGACCTCCTGGACTTTCCCCAGGCCTCCCGCACCCCTTTGCCATCACGGTGTTTGAAGACAGCCTGTACTGGACAGACTGGCACACCAAGAGCATCAATAGTGCCAACAAATTTACTGGCAAGAACCAGGAGATCATTCGCAACAAACTCCACTTCCCCATGGACATCCACACCCTGCACCCCCAGCGCCAGCCTGCAGGTAAAAAAGTCAGCGCCCGCCTGGTGAGCCTCCAGTGCTTCCGAGAACCTTCCTTGCACCTGTCAACAGTTGCCAGGGTTTCCAGCAAGCAAATTTAAGGTTGGCGCTGATGTCGACTCATTCCGCCCTCTGCTGGACTTATAGGGTACAACATGGAGACTTAGGAAAGACTCACTCCGCTTTGCTATCCCCATTTAATTCATGCAAACTTTTCCTGTGAATCAGGCATTCACTCTGCTCATAGGTGGGGGCAGATATACAAAATAAGAAGACATAGTTTTTTCCTTCAGGAAGATCATGCCTTTGCTAAACCCCCACTCACTAGCCTCGGGACCCCTTCTGCCAACCTTTGGCCTTACCTGACCCTCGTTCTGGGCTTTTTGAGCAGGGAAAAACCGCTGTGGGGACAACAATGGAGGCTGCACCCACCTGTGTCTGCCCAGTGGACAGAACTACACCTGTGCCTGCCCCACCGGCTTCCGCAAGATCAGCAGCCACGCCTGTGCCCAGAGTAAGTGGGTCTGGGGCCCCGCCTCAGTGGACCTGCCTTGTGAGGGCGGGTGGAGCGAACAAAGGGGGAGGAGTCCGGGAACTGCCTGGTGAGGGGGGGAGCCAGCTCCGCAGGTAGCCCCTGGAGAGGAAGAAGGTCAGGCCCTGAGGGCTGCCCGGCCACAGCTGAGGGCTGAGGGCCCAGCGCTCGTCCCTGAAGACGCAGGGACACCACAGAGTCAAGCGTGAGCCCCCGCAAACCGGCTTGTGGGTCATTTCACCAGGGTGCTTTGTCTCTAGGCAGCAGGAGGGCTCCAGACCCTCCCACACAGCAAGGGAACCGTTTCCTAGCTCTTTACCTCCGGAGTTTCCCTGGCGGCTCAGACTGTAAAGTGTCTGCCTGCAATGCCGGAGACCCGGGTTTGATCACTGGGTTGGGAAGACCCCCTGGAAAAGTAAACAGCAACCCACTCCAGTATTCTTGCCTGGAAAATTCTATGGACGGAGGAGCCTGGTGGGCTACGGTCCATGGGGTCGCCAAGAGTTGGACCCCACTGAGCGGCTTCACTTTTACCTTTAGCATCACCCTAAAGACTGTCTCAGCCCTAAACCAGAGAGTAAGATAAAAACATCTGATGATGCTCTGTATACAGAGGCCCAGGATAGATAAGTGTCTAGTGAGTGAAAGCGTCCTCTGGGGGCTCCCTGAACTGCTCCTTTGGTTTTCTTTGAGTTCCTGAGGTATATTGCCTTGAGACGGTGGCCTTGTCTAGCTCAGAGGCGCAGGTGACTTTTTTCCTGAGAATAGTCCAGAGAGGAGTGATCCAGATGGGTGGCACACCCAGCCAGGGGCTGGGGAGATGCCTCACACATCACGGCTCTTCTGTTACTGCTGTGTGCCCGCCGCCCCACTTCTCTCTGGTGAAAATAAAATTTCTCTCAGGACCTAGGTCCTTTCCAGAGAGTGGAATCAGGGCAACTAGTCCAGGGAACAGAAGGGGAGTCATTCAACACACTTTGATTGAGAACCTTGTTTCCTTGCATCCTCCTATGCTCAGCTCTTCCCATGTGGTCTTGATGAGATGCAAGGAACTTCCCCTGAAAGAAGTTCAGTTGATAAAGTGACGCAGGAAGTGCCTTTCAAAGCAGAATAGTAACTGGGAAATATTCAGACAGACCAGAATAGGGGCAGGGGATGGAGAAGAGCTGGGAAAATGCTGAATGGGAATGTGGCCAGAACTCCACCTTTGCAGTCAGACCTGACTTCAAGTCCCCTGCTCTGGTGCTTGGTAGCTGTGGGATCCTGGGCCAGTTCCTGGGCCCCTGTTAGCCTCTGGGTCGTTGATCCAGAAAATGAGAATAAGAATAGCGTGAACCACAAAGGACTGTTAGGAGGGTAAAGGAGACAAGGCAAGAGAAACAGGAAGCTCAGTGCCCGGCAAGGAGTAGGGTGCAACAGTCATTATTGGCCCGAATCACGAAGAGCATGGAGGAAGGGGTCTTAGACCATGGAGTGGAGCAGAAGTCCTGAAGCAGACGTGGAAGGCAGAGAGATGGGGTGGGGGCTTGACAGGGATCGAGCCCAGCCCACTAGGTGAGGCTGAGCAGTCAGAGCAGAGGAGAGTTGAGATGCAGCTGACAGACACTTAAGCAGGATGCCCATCTGGGCCCTGATGGCGTCTATTCCATTGGCTCCTCAAGTCTGATGGTGCCAGCACAGGCCGCCCAGTGTTCAGAGGCGGTCTGAGGTGTGAACCATAGGGGACATAGGGCAGCAGACCCCAGGAAGTGTGGCTGAACCAGATGTCCCGTAGGCGAGCGTCTGTGTCTGTCACTGTTACTGGACTTAGAGCATTAAAAGAAGACCCCTTTCGGCCTTTGATCAGGTCTTGACAAGTTCCTGCTTTTTGCCCGAAGGATGGACATCCGTCGGATCAGCTTCGACACGGAGGACCTGTCCGACGATGTCATCCCACTGGCTGACGTGCGCAGCGCTGTGGCCCTTGACTGGGACTCCCGGGATGACCACGTGTACTGGACAGATGTCAGCACTGACACCATCAGCAGGGCCAAGTGGGATGGAACAGGGCAGGAGGTAGGGCCGGACGTGGGGCACGGGCCCACAGGGAGGGCAGGGCGGGCAGCGTGGGATTCACCCTCTCCCCGGGAAGGGCCTCCCAGACCTTTGCCAGCCTGCCAGTTGCTGGCATGTGGGCCCCAGAGCCGGGGCGCAAGTCCAGTTGGTGATACAGTCTTGCTTCCTGCCTAGGTGGTGGTGGATACCAGTTTGGAGAGCCCGGCAGGCCTGGCCATTGACTGGGTCACCAACAAGCTGTACTGGACAGATGCAGGTATATAGAGGGCACGTGTGGCCTGACACTCTGGGACCTTCTTATTTAAAAACCCTGGCCTCAGCTCAAAAGGACCTAGTGCCCCTCCTAGACTGTTTCCATCTTCACCTGAAGTTCCTTGGTCAGTCAGGAGTGGTTGGGCTGCTGCAGAACTGAAGTTAGAAGCTCACATCTGAGGGTTTGGCATTTGCCATTCAAGTGGCGGCTACTTCGGCTGTGCAGCTGATGCTTGAGAATGTTTTGAGGCATTTCAGACAAGAAACCTACACCCTATGGTTTTCCTTCCATCACTGTCTTTGTGAAAGAGGCATTTTCTATTAGGCAGCTAAGTGTGGGAGGCAGGAGGAGTGCCTTAAATGAGAGCTACTCAAAGTGTGGTCCCTGGACCAGCAGCGTCAGCATCACCTGGGAACTTGTTAGAAATGCAGATTCCTGGGCCCCACCCCAGACCTGCTCAGTCAGAATCTTTGGGGCTTAGGAATCTGTATTTTCACAAGCTCTTCTCATTCTTAGGCACATTTAAGTTTGAGAAGCATGGCCTTAAATTATAGAACAGAATGGGTTACTTGGGTTGAAGAAGCCTTAGTCTTCCAAGAAGGGGAGCTAATCAGTTCCTTGAATTTCTTCTTGAAATTCAGGTCCCTCCATTTTCATTGCTTTTATCACAAAGTATTTCTTGAGGATTTATAGCACACCAAGCTCCGTGCTGGGCATAGAAGGTAAGAGGGTGAATGACCCAGATGAGAGTTGATATCTTTGCCCGCACCTACTTCTTGGCAGGGACAGACCGGATTGAAGTGGCCAACACGGACGGCAGCATGAGGACAGTCCTCATCTGGGAGAACCTTGATCGTCCCCGGGACATCGTGGTGGAGCCCATGGGCGGGTGAGCGCCTGCCCCTTTGGAACAAGCTCCCCCCACCCCCAGATCTGAGGAATAGAGTGGAGTCTGGAGGTCAGGGAGAGAGGCTAGATCTTACAGGCACACCGAGGAAGCAAGAGCAGCTGTATAAACCTCAGAGCATCATGACCAATCTGTCTCCTTCACGGCCAAGGAAATCTTTTTTCATTTTAAAATTTTTTCTTCTTTCTTTTTTCTTTTTGGTTTTTTGGTCTGCTTACTAAAGTAAGCCATTGGTTTTTTAAAAAGTTTATCAAGAGAGAAGATTCTCCCCAATGTCACTCTCCAACAATAACTGTTGTTAACAGTTGAGGGCAGTTTTTCCAGATTTTCTTCCCCGTGTATGCATACATGTGGTGGTGGTGGTGGTTTTCGTTTGACAACATACTGTGTCTGTAACTTGGTTTTTTTACTTGGCTATATATCTTGGATATCCTCCCATTTGATCAGTAGATTTTTCTTTTCTTGATGGTTATATAGAATTCTGTTAAGTTGACGTACCACAATTCTTTAACCCATCCAGTCAAGGAAACATTTAAGACCCTTGGTGGTTTTTGGTAGTGATATAAGATGTAAGACCTTCAGAGACAGCTCTGAACCCAGGAGGGAGCTGGAAACTGAGGCAAGAGGCTGGGGTAGCCACTGCAAGTAGAAACCCTCGAGCCCTGGGAACCCTGAATCCCCACTGGGTAGAAACTGGAAGGCTTGTAAGACCTCCCTTCCCTTGCCCAGGTACATGTATTGGACGGACTGGGGTGCAAGTCCCAAGATTGAGCGAGCTGGCATGGATGCCTCAGGCCGGCGGGTCATCATCTCTTCCAATCTGACCTGGCCTAATGGATTAGCCATCGACTATGGGTCCCAGCGGCTCTACTGGGCTGATGCCGGCATGAAGACGATTGAGTTTGCCGGACTCGATGGCAGCAAGAGGAAGGTAAGCGTGGCACGGAGGCATCCTCCCACAGCCCTGACCGCCTCCCCGACAGGGCTTCCTGGCTGGCTGCTGACGGGACCCGGGGAGGCCTAGGGGAGACCCAGTCTGGGGTGAATGCTATTTCTCTGAGACTGTGGCTGCACTCCCGAGCCTGGGGTCCCTGTTCCTTGATGATAAAAGGGAACTGGGGACTGTGTGGCTTGTGGGCTGGGGTATAAGTGCTTTGCTAATAACCATCACCATGAATGCTGTTTCATCACCAGTCGCATACTGGGCCCATGACCTCTCTCTCTCTCTTTCTCTCTTTGTTAATTTTGGTTTAATTTCCAACTTAACAAACTGCAGGAATAGTCAAAAGAACCAATAACTGACATTTTGCCACATGGTTATACCATTTTTATTCTCTCTACACATGCACACACACACATTATTTTTCCAAACCATCTGAGATTCCACTTGGAGACATCCTGCCCTGAACCCCTGATAGTCCAATGCGTATTTCCTAAGAACAAGAACTCAGTCTTACATAACCACAGTTAAGTAATCAATAACAGGAAATTTAACGTTGATACAATATTACTGTCTAATCCGAGGCCCGTGTTCAGTGTCACCACCAATTGCCCCAGTAATATCCTTATAACTTTTTTTTTTTTTAGTCTAGGGTCCAGCTCCAGATTACAATTGTTTTTAGTCATGATGTCTCTTTAATCTGGAACATTTCCTCAGCTTTTCTTTATCTTTCTTGATCTTTGTGTCTTTAAAGAGTAAACGCCAGTTATTCTGAAGAATGTCCCTGAGTTTGTCTGGCGTATCTTTATGATCAGATTCAGATTATACATCTGGGGCAGGAATACCACATTAAGTCCTGTCCTGAGTTCTCCGTATGTCTTATTAGTAGTCACAGATGTCAGCTCGTCTCATCATTGCAATACCAATTTTTTCTTCTAAGATTTTTTTTTTAATGTGGACAGTTTTAAAAGTCTTTATTGAATTTGTTGCCATATTGCTTCTGTTTTATGTTTTGGTTTTTTGGCCACGAGGCATGTGGGATCTTAGTTCCCTGGCCAGGGATTGAAACCATGCCCTCTGCATTGAAAGGTAAGGTCTTAACCACTGAACCACCAGGGAAGTCACCAGCTTTGATTGTGTGGTGAAGATGGTGTCCCCTGTGAAGTTGCTGTTTCTCCTTTTGTAATTAGTAAGTCACTTGTACAGAGATTCTTCGAGATTATGTAAATAATACATGATCTCTTAGAATCATCACACAACCCTTGGAACCAGGCACTGTCACGATGCTATTACAGATTGGCAGACCAAGCCTCGAGAGATTTTATAACCAGCTCTAACCCAAGGTCACACAGCAGGTGGTACTGGCAGAGTGCGCCCTTGACGCCTGCTCTGTACTGTCAGACCTGATTGGGGCATGACATGACATAAGCGTGGGGACCCTGGCAGGTCCTGATTGGAAGCCAGCTGCCCCACCCGTTTGGACTGACCCTCTATGGGGAGCGCATCTACTGGACCGACTGGCAGACCAAGAGTATCCAGAGTGCCGACCGGCTGACGGGGCTGGACCGGGAGACCCTGCAGGAGAACCTGGAGAACCTGATGGACATCCACGTCTTCCACCGCCGGCGGCCCCCAGGTGACCAGCCCTTGGCCCACACTGGCTTCTCCTTGGCTTCCCTCGGCCACGGTCCTTCTCATTGACCCCCTCCTCCCCACCCAGTGTCCACACCATGCGCGACGGAGAACGGCGGCTGCAGCCACCTGTGTCTTCGGTCCCCAAACCCAAGTGGCTTCAGCTGTACCTGCCCCACAGGCATTAACGTGATGCCTGATGGCAAGACCTGCTCACCAGGTAGGTCTAGGCATCACAGACCTGGCTAGAGCCTCTCTGGGAAGGGGCAGTGACTCTCTTCCTTCCTCGCAAGTGGACTCCAGTGTGGCCTGAGGAACCTAAGCTTCTAGAGGCTTAGGGGCAGACAAAGCTTTTTTTTTAAAAAAAAAAAAAAGAGATGCAGGGGAACAGGCAGGCAGGATTAGAAGCAGGGTCCAACTATGTCTCATGGCATCTTCATGCACATTAGAAAAAGATGCTCCTTTCTCAGACACTTTATTTTTCTCTGTTGGGAAACTGTCATAATATACTGATTCGGTTAGAATAAATCACTATAGTTCCATCTACCCGAAATTGGTATAATAAATACTAGAACATGTGATAAACTACAAGGTAATGGTACCTCCTTTGGAAATGGCACTTGTGTGAGTAGGCACGATCAGCACAACCTTCATGATAACCTGAACTGAAAGGTCTCAGAAGCAGGAGCTGGCTGCCCAAGTGTTGGAAGCTGATGTTTCTCCCTAGGAGATGCTACGTAGTAGGCTACATTTGAACCCTAACTTCCTAGGGAACTTGAGTGAGAAAGGAGCTCTGAATTGTCCCAGGCTGTGGGCAAAGCCCTCTTTCACTTAACATGAAGTTTTTTAAACTTCAAAGAGATTCACTTTTGTGATACTAATAAAGAACTGTGTCTATGAATCAGACCCAATGCTAAGGGTTTTTCTGTATTGATCTTTTATCCCTACAGCACCCCCTGTTATTGTCCCCATTTTACAGATGATGAAACTGAGGCTTAAACAATTTAAATAATGTGCTCAGGATCACACAACTAGAAACTAATGGAGACGGAAAGCATGAACTTCAGCTTGCCTTGCTCCAGATCCTCTCATGGCTGTGCTAGGATGACTGTCCTCTTTCCTTCTCTCCACACCTGGGCAGGCATGAACAGTTTCCTCATCTTCGCCAGGAGGATAGACATCCGCATGGTCTCCTTGGACATCCCTTACTTTGCCGACGTGGTGGTACCCATCAACATCACCATGAAGAACACCATTGCCATTGGAGTGGATCCCCAGGAAGGTCTGCATGGTCCTCCCTGCTCTCCTGGCCCCCATAGCAACGGATGCCCTGTTTGCTGCCAGCTTTGCCTCCTGCTGAGAGCCTAGGGGCCTCCCGTTCCCTCTGGCACAACCCCTGCCCATGTCTGTAGCACTTGCTCTTTCGTTATGAGGGCATGGGGTTGGGGGCCACGTTCTTCATCTTCTGCCAAGGGCTATGCTGTTATACTATTTCTGTATTCCCCTTGATTTCCTCTCCTTGGGGATGTAGGGCGCTCTGACATGCCCAGGCGTCTCAGAACACGAGTCAGCAGTGTGTGTTCCTTTGGAGGCGGGGAGGGATGAAAGTCTGGGCTGAGCCATGCCTTCCTTTTCCAGGAAAAGTGTACTGGTCCGACAGCACGCTGCACAGGATCAGCCGTGCCCGTCTGGATGGCTCGCAGCAGGAGGACCTCGTCACCACAGGTGGGCCTGGCTGCAGCCTTGGGCCCGCCTGTCTGCCTGCAGGGCTGGGGAGAGAGCCCGTCTGTCTTAAGGCAGGAGCCAGTGAGCTCTGCTGACTTCCTGCAGGGCTGCAGACCACAGACGGGCTCGCGGTGGATGCCGTCGGCCGGAAAGTGTACTGGACAGATACGGGAACGAACCGGATCGAAGTGGGCAACCTGGATGGGTCCATGCGGAAGGTGTTGGTGTGGCAGAACCTTGACAGCCCGCGCGCCATCGTACTGTACCACGAGATGGGGTGAGAGCGGCTCCGGGGCCCCAGGCGGCAGGACAAACACGGCCGCCTCGCAGGAGCACCGAGTCTGACCTCCCAGGGGCGCTTCCTCTCCCTTGTGATGACCTTCAGGGTGGCAGTGTAGCGTAGAGGTTCAAACTATGAATCCTGGAATCAGAAATCCAGAAGTCAAATTTTTCCACCATTTATTAGCTGCATCTGTCACTTTGGGTTCAATGTTTAACCTCCCTGGTCCTCCAGTGGAGCCCCCCCAATCTTCTTGCCTGGAGAATCCCACGATCAGAGGAGTCTGGCTTCTGCAGCCCATAGGGTCCCAAAGAGTCGGACACGACAGGTGCAACTTAGCACACATGCCTGGTCCTCAGATTCCTTACCTGTAAAATGGAGGTGATAATGAAAATGCATGCCTTGTGGACCTTGTGAGGATTAAGTGAGATAATGCTGGGAAGTACTTAAAAAATTTTTTTTATTTTAGTTTTTTAAATATTTTAATTATTTTTTAAAAATATTTATTTGGCTGTGCAGGGTCTTAATTGTGGCATGTGGGATCTAGTTCCCTGACCAGGGATTGAAGCTAGACCCCCCTTGCATTGGGAACACTGAGTCTTAGCCACTGACCACCGGGAAAGTCCTGAAAGTATTGTATTTTTAATCATGAAAAGCATAACATTAAATTTACCATCTTAGGTAACGATAACCCTATATGCAAAACAGAAAAAGAGACTCAGATGTATAGAACAGACTTGTGGACTCTGTGGGAGAAGGCGAGGGTGGGATGTTTCAAGAGAACAGCATCGAAACATGTATATTATCTAGGGTGAAACAGATCACCAGCCCAGGTTGGATGCATGAGACAAGTGCTCGGGCCTGGTGCACTGGGAAGACCCAGAGGGATCGGGTGGAGAGGGAGGTGGGAGGGGGGACCGGGATGGGGAATACATGTAAATCCATGGCTAATTCATTTCAATGTATGACAAAAACCACTGCAATGTTGTAAAGTAATTAGCCTCCAACTAATAAAAATAAATGGGAAAAAAAAAATAAATTTACCATCTTAACTGTCTTCAAGTGTACAGTTCAGTAGTGTTAATACGATCACATGATTGTGAAACCGGTCTCCGGAACTTTGTCGTCTGGCAAATGTGAAACCCTGTAGTCGTTAAACAAGTCCGGTCTGTGCGTGTAAATACTTGTCACAGTGTCTGGCGTACTGTGAGGACTCCCAGGGTATGGGAACTGTGGGAGTAACCAGCTGTTACCGTTTCTTGCCCAGGTTCATGTACTGGACGGACTGGGGGGAGCATGCCAAGTTGGAGCGGTCGGGAATGGATGGCTCCGACCGCACCGTGCTCATCAACAGCAACCTCGGTTGGCCCAACGGACTGACTGTGGACAAGGCCAGCTCCCAGCTGCTCTGGGCTGATGCCCACACCGAGGTGGGGTCCCGCTCCTGCTCCTTTGCAGAGCCTGAGAGTATAGGAGGGCCGTGGAGTCTCCGCTGAGGGCTCCCGGCCTCCCAACAGCCGCCGGTACCCTGTCCTTCCTCCACAGCGAATCGAGGCTGCGGATCTGAACGGGGCCAATCGGCACACGTTGGTATCACCTGTCCAGCACCCGTATGGCCTCACCCTGCTCGGCGCCTATATCTACTGGACTGACTGGCAGACCCGTAGCATCCACCGTGCCGACAAGGGGACTGGCAGCAACGTCATCCTGGTGAGGTCCAACCTGCCAGGCCTCATGGACATCCAGGCTGTGGATCGGGCACAGCCCCTGGGTGAGAAGACCCCTAGGCCTGTGAGCCAGAGGCCTCTGACTCTCTGGGGCCGTCTCAGCATCAGAGATCTATCCAGAGCAGAGAGATGCCTTTACAACCAGAGGGACAGGGACCTGCCTAGGCCCCTCCAGGATCAGGCTGCGTTCCCTCTGGGTGCAGTGGGTACTGCGTACGCCCACGGCAGGGTGCTGTCCCCTTTAAAGGGCTCCTGGAGACACCCCTGCTCCTTCTAGCTCATCCCTACCAGGCACCAAATCCTGTTATGCAGAACAGTAGACCATCAGGCACGAGAAAACCCGTGCCTTGGTTAAGATTTAGACCGTATTCCAGGCCGGGTGTCAAAACTCGCGCCTTTCTCTCTTTCATCACCAGGTGTGAACAAGTGCGGACCCAGGAACGGTGGCTGCTCTCACCTGTGCCTGCCCCGGCCCTCGGGCTTTTCCTGTGCCTGCCCCACTGGCATCCAGCTGAAGGGAGATGGGAAGACCTGTGATCCCTCTCCTGAGACGTACCTGCTCTTCTCCAGCCGCGGCTCTATCCGGCGTATCTCCCTGGACACCAGCGACCACACGGATGTGCACGTACCAGTCCCCGAGCTCAACAATGTCATCTCCCTGGACTATGACAGCGTGGATGGCAAGGTCTATTACACGGACGTGTTCCTGGATGTTATCAGGTATGAGTGTCCCCAAAAACCTCCAGAGGACACAGACCTGCTTCCGATTTCTGATGGCTGAGGTCATGGTCTGGGTTCACCTCTAAAAGGACTGAGTGATTTGGCAACTTGGATAGTGATTTCTGACCCGAATTTGTTCACTTTGCAGTGTTATCCCAAAAGAGTTTCAAACTTTTTTGTTTGTTTGCTTGTTTGAAGGTTCTGATGTGCTTTGCCAGGCTTCCCAGGTGGTGCAGTGATAAAAGAATCTGCCTGCCAGTGCAGGAGACTCAAGAGACCTGGGTCTGATCCCTGGGTTGGGAAAGTCCCCTGGAGGAGGAAATGGCAACCCACTCCAGTAGGCTTGCCTGGAAAATCCCATGGATAGAGGAGCCTGGTGGGCTACAGTCCACAGGGTTGTACAGAGTTGGACACGACTGAGCACACACACATGGCCTATCTTGTGTTTCATGAATTTATATTTTTGGTCGCACCATGCAGCTTGCAGGATTCCCCGACCAGGGATCAAACCCATGCTCCCTGCAGTGGAAACAGTGTCTTACCCACTGGACCACCAGGGAATTTCCCTTATTTAAAGAGGACTAAGGTCGGACACGACTGAAGCGACTTAGCAGCAGCAGCAGCAGCAGCAGAAGTCCAGTATGTAAAACAGACAGATAAAGTCAGGCTAGGGACCTGGAGCCTTCTACCCCTACTACTGGACCCTACAGGAGTTCCACGGATCCTCTAGACTCAGTGATTAGTTGGCCACATCGCCAAACTGAGTGTATTATAATACAGAAGTACCAGCCAAATGCAAGGTGTATGGTGGTTTACGAGGTTGTGCTTGTTTTTGTTTTTAAAATATTTTTTGTTTTATTTAAATTTTTATTCTTTCAATTTTTCACCCCAACACAGCCAAGGAATGTGGTACCCTGCATTCATGTACATTCACGTACCGTTAGAGGGGTTTACCATGGCAGAGATTCTCATGTGGAAGAACAGGATTATTCCCTTTTTTCTCCCTGAGGGGTGTATTAGACTCTCGTCCTGAGAGCTGGTGGGTACATGTGGAGTTTAGAGAAGGCCCCCATGTGTTGGTACACGCCCCCTCCCCCATCCTGAGTTCCCTGCTATAGGTCAGACTATTATAAAAAATGCACAGGTAGATTTTTAAAAATCTTCCCTTTCTTCTAATCACTACCTAGCAATCCTTGTCTCCTGAAGGTGTATGGGGCTTATTAACCTGTCTTCTGGCAAGACGTGGGTCCAAATGCCACCTACCTAGAGCAGGAAACACTCTGTCCTCCCAATACCTTATTCATTAGGTCTGCAAATATTTTGAATACCTACTGTGCTAGATGCTGAGGAATGTACTTATAAATGGGCTTCCCAGGTGGCACTCGTGGTAAAGAACCCGCCTGCCAGCGCAGGTTAGACTTAAGAGACATGGGTTTGCTCCCTGGGTCAGGAAGATCCCTTGGAGGAGGGCATGGCGACCCACTCCAGTATTCTTGCCTGGAGAATCCCAAGGACAGAGGAGCCTGGCAGGCTACAATCCACAGGGTCTCAGAGAGTCGGACACAACTGAAGCTACTTAGCATGCACACATGCATGCATGTACTTATAAATACTTGCTCCCTGCCCCTATGGAGCTTACAGCGTAGTGGGAATCCAACTCTGGGAATGTGGATTAAAGGGGTATCAGCCTATTGCTGATCTGATCAGTCATCTACCCCTGGACTGTTCCTCAAGGCGAGCAGATTTGAACGGCAGCAATATGGAGACAGTGATCGGGCGTGGACTGAAGACCACTGACGGGCTGGCAGTGGACTGGGTGGCCAGGAATCTGTATTGGACAGATACGGGCCGCAATACCATTGAAGCATCGAGGCTGGACGGTTCCTGCCGCAAAGTGCTGATCAACAACAGCCTGGATGAGCCTCGGGCCATCGCTGTTTTCCCCAGGAAGGGGTAAGTTTTTGGCCAGCAGGAAAGAGATCCAGGGGAGAAGGGCCTGGGGAGGAGGCACTTGAATATGCCTCGATATTAATGGTATTCTCTCGACCTCTGGGTGCCATCTTCCCATGCCTTGCTGATGGCACCATCGTGTCCCAGGTACCTCTTCTGGACAGACTGGGGCCACATTGCCAAGATCGAACGGGCGAACTTGGATGGCTCTGAGCGGAAGGTCCTCATCAACACAGACCTGGGTTGGCCCAATGGACTTACCCTGGACTATGATACCCGCAGGTGGGAATCCTATCCCAGACAGCATCTTGGAAATCGGGTGGGCAGAGGAGAGGAAGACCGAGATTGAAGTAGTGAAAACAAAAAAGTAGAAAGCTCCTTGCTGGGTAGGGAAGAGCAAGCAGTGAGAAGGATGAGGTAACATATTCTTGGGGCAGGAGTCGCTGAACCGAGCACTCAACCCTCAGGTGGGCTTTGTTTATCTGGTTTACGTGTTTTTATTTTTTAATTTATTTTGTTGTTGTTGTTCAGTTGCTAAGTCATGTCTGACTCTTTGCAACTCTACAGACTGCAGCATGCCAGGCTTCCCTGCCCTTCACTATCTCCCAGAGTTTACTCAAACCCATGTCCATTGAGTCGATGATGCCATCCAACCATCTCCTCCTCTGTCGTCCCCTTCTCCTCCTGCCCTCAATCTTTCCCAGCATTAGAGTCTTTTCCCCTGATTCAGCTGCTCTCATCAGGTGGCCAAAGTACTGGAGCTTCAGCATCAGTCTTTCCAATGAATATTCAGGACTGATTTCCTTTAGGAGGGACTGGTTGGTTCTCCATGCAGTCCAAGTGACTCTCAAGAGTCTTCTCCAACACCAGTTTGAAAGCATCACTTCTTCAGTGCTCAGCTTTCTTTATAGTCCAACTCTCACATCCATACATGACTACTGGAAAAACCATAGCTTTGACTAGACCGGCCTTTTTCAGCCAAGTGATGTCTCTGTAGGAGTCAAAGGGTGATCGAGTTGCTGAAGACGAGATGGGGTGCTGGCTCCCCTGAGGTCACTTGATTTCTACCCCTCTCCAGAACCGCCCTGGCCTCCCCACTTATGAGTCACCATCCAAATTCCACTCCTCAGCTTACGGACTCCCAGTGGCCCCCCTCATCAAGTCACCACGACTGCTCACAGCACCCGCCAGCTCAGCTCAGGAGGGGACAGCCAGCTCCCCGAGGGCAGGGCTCTCTGGCTCGCGTCGTCAGCGGCCACCTTTTCTCCTTCACAGGATCTACTGGGTGGACGCCCACCTGGATCGGATTGAGAGCGCTGACCTCAGCGGGAAGCTCCGACAGGTGCTGGTCAGCCACGTGTCACACCCCTTTGCCCTCACTCAGGTACTGACTCGGAGAACGGGACTCACCCTCCTTGATGGGGGGTACTTCCTTGGGGCTCTGTGTCTGCCCCAGATGCCGCTGAACAGGTGCGCGACGGAAGCCCATTTTAGGAGTGATTCTTGTACACAGAAGCCTTGCCACCATGCGCCCTGCTGCTCCCGAACGCTCACATTCTAGCATTCAGAGGGGTGGCTCTCCCACAGCTGCACATGGAGTCAGCCGTGGGACCTGTGTGAATGAACATTCCTGGGCATCGGATATAAAGGACCTGCCTCCTGAGGGTCGGACTGGGAATATTCATTTTTAACAAGTTCCCCAGTTGATCCCAGTGCCATGGTCCCAGCACACAAACTCAGGCAGCTCACTTAACAGCCAGAAAGTGGAGTGGCTGAGAGCCAGCGTTTTGAGGCAACGAGCCAGTCAGCAAGTTTATTGGGTGAGTGCCTCCAACGAGCCAGCTCTGTGGGTTCAAGTTCTGCCTGGGTCTTGAACTGACTGGGCAACTTGCACAAGATACTGAAGTTTCTAAGCTTCACTTACTTATAAGAGAAATGAGTTTAATAATAGTGTCCTCCTGAAGTCATATCTGACTCTTCATGACCCCACAGACTGCAGCCTGCCAGGCTCTTCTGTCCATGGAATTCTCCAGGCAAGAATCCTGGAGTGGGTAGCCATTCCCTTCTGCAGGGGATCTTCTCAACCCAGAGATGGAACGTGGGTCTCCCGCGTTGCAGGCAGATTCTTTACTATCTGAGCCACCGGGGGAAGCCCGAAATATACACAAAGCATTAACACAGTGCCTGCCACTCGGGGTGTGTTATTTGTGATCATTTTAATTAGTATTGGCTGACATTATTTTTTAAGAGTTCTAACCTTGTGAAACAATGCAAGGAAGGAAAAAGGTATACCAAGGCAGGGGCCAAAACAGGGATGCTCAATTATTCAAAAATCTTTGTCCTTTTTTTGACAAAACATCCACTTGATCTGCATTCTGCATTATATCCTTCCAGCCAAAAGATTTTCTCTGACTTTACTTAATGATAGGCTTTCCCACCTCATACTCCACATGTAAAACTACAGGATTAGACTGAGTTTAGTTTCCTAGTCTACAAGTTTCCCTGGGGTTTCTGATGCATACCCTAGGGATGGGAGGGAAACCGCCTACACTGCACTTCCTCCCCTGGTTGAGAATCTCAAGATCACTGAATTAGAAGGCCGCTGCCTGCAGAGGTAACCAGGGAACTTGGGCTGGGGCTGTGAGTGAAGGACCCCCCACCTCCAGAATTTACTCCTGTTTGCTAGATACAGGAACTCAGTTCTTCACTGAGCCACTCACTGAGCCACCTGATTGAAGACAACGTGTTAGTGCTGGAAATTGAGAGATGAATAAAGCACATTCTTGTCCTTGAAGGGCTTAATCTGGCAGGACAGATAGATATGTAAAACAATGACCACGGGTAGAAGTGAGGACACGGCTCAGAACAGCATGGAGAGAAGGGTGACTTCTCTGTGGACTGGGGGAGACCTCCTGGGTAATGTCATATGTGGGGATGCATACGAGTTGACCTGGATATATGAAGAAGAGGGCAGCTGGGCAGCGGGAACAAACGGGCTGAGGCACGGAAGCTGTCGTGGGGTCTGCCTATTAATAGTTACCCTTTTGGGGTCTCCCTGTTGAGTAGCAGGACAGGTGGATCTACTGGACAGACTGGCAGACCAAGTCCATCCAGCGTGTGGACAAGTACTCGGGCCGGAACAAGGAGACGGTGTTGGCGAATGTGGAGGGACTCATGGATATCATCGTGGTCTCCCCTCAGCGGCAGACAGGTGGGCTCCTGGTCCGGAGGCTGCTTCCGTACCACTGGTGGGGTTCACTGGTCACCCCAAGGACTGTTAATAACCAAGACGGTGGGAGCCACTGGACAGCCGCAGGTTCACACCTGAAGCTCTTAGGCCTTTTTGGCCCCCAGTTGTTATACCCCTCCTTCCTGCCCCACTGTCCCTGGGAGTCAGGGAGCCCTGAATTTCCTCCAGATGGAGAAGCGTCAAACTGGGAGACCTGATTGTACCCCAGGTCAGACCTTCATCTGCTTTGCTCCCAGGGACCAACGCCTGTGGCGTGAACAACGGCGGCTGCACCCACCTCTGCTTTGCCAGAACCTCGGACTTTGTGTGTGCCTGTCCTGATGAGCCCGACGGCCGGCCCTGCTCCCTTGGTGAGTTAGACTGATGGCCCCCCCACCAGAAAAGCGGGGCCCTTGCAAGGGCCGGGGATCAGCAGCTTTTTCCATTTGGGTGAGACGGTCCCGCAGGGGATCTTACAGCAGAGTGACTAGGAGCAACGAGCTTGAGGTTTGGAATGGCACAAAGCCGGGTCTGCCTGGCTTCTGGTGTGTACGTATGTATGTGTCTATGTATGTAGCTGTGCTGGGTCTTCCTGGCGGCACGTGGGGCCTTCTCTAGTTGCGGCGCACTGGCTCCTTGTTGTGGAATGTGGGCTTCGGGCTCTAGAGCCCGTGGGCTTCGTAGTTACCGTGCCCGGGCTTTTTCTGGTTGGGGCACATGGGCTCAGTTGTCCTGCAGCATGTAGGATCTTAGTTTCCCAACCAGGCATCAAACCCACATCCCCTGCAGTGGAAGGCAGGTTCTTAGCCACTGGACCACCAGGGAAGTCCCTGGCTTCTGGGATTTACTAGAATGGAAATCAGCTCTCCTGAGTCCCTGATCCCTGCTGTGACCTGTTCATGACTTTCTTCCTGTCCTTTGTGGGCCAGCTAGCCCATCCAGAGCTGTTACTATTGGAAACCAAATCCTTTTTATTAAGAAGGACATCTAACAGGGGTGCCTAGGATGAGGACAGCTAAAAGATTGCTCTGTCAGGTTCTCTTGGAGCACAGGTAGATATTTGGGGCTCCAGTGGTCCACTCCAGCCCTTGTTTTCTCTCCAGTACCTGGCCTGGTGCCCCCAGCTCCCAGAGCTACCAGTATGAGTGAAAGAAGCCCTATGCTACCCAACACGTTACCAACTACCCTGCGTTCTACCACCCGGACCCGTACATCTCTGGAGGAGGTGGAAGGGAGGTAAGTGCATTTAGTATGGGACTGAGGGCTCTTTGATCCAAATCTCATCCCCTGCCAGCAGACCACCATAGTCCCAGCTTGATAATTCTGACAGATGGGAAATGGATTACATCATTATCCACTAGTCCCTGCTGTTTGGGACTGGAGATGATATTTAGTCTTATAGATTGTTGCAAGTGATTTTTTTTTTATAGCTCTGGAAGCAAGAAGCTTTAAGAGCAGCTTTAGAGAGAAATCATTCAGGAAGTTTCCACCTGGCATTCCTCCTTCTTCCTTTCTTTCTGTGATTTCTGCTCTGGCAGAACAGGTTTAGCACATCGTCTTATCCTTCATTTTGCTTAGAAGTCACCAAGTCATAGTGGTCTCTGGGCTGGGGCTTTGTAATCTGAGACATTCCCAGGTATATGATGGCCTTAGCTTATAATGACCTGTAACACTAAAACAGGCATGTATGTGCACACACGCACACACACACACACACCCCATTATTAAATAAGCAAGCATAACCATGAATAGTTCTCAAATTAAGCATAAAACACTGTATTTCATTAAGCTGAAAGTGCTGTCAATTTAAAATGCATCCTGATTTGAGAGATTAAACTGAAAAAATAACCAACAGCAATTGTGGTATGCCATTAATTGTAAGACATAGCCCTATTTTAGAGATGTAAGAATATAGAAAAAAAATGCTTATCTTAAAATTGATGAAATATGTTATATTCAACTTAGAGAAAGTCTAATAAATAAGTTTTTTATTTATGCTTAGTAAAAAAATAATCTGGAAATACAAATAGGAGTAAAGATGAAAGAAGTACCCATATACTCATATATAATTACCTTTAGTGGTTTTTTTGTTATATATGTATATTGCAAAATGATTACCACAATAAATCTAGTTAGTTAACATCCATTACCACACATATCCAATTTTTTTTCTTATAACGAGAACTTTTAAAATCTACTCTTTCAGCAGTCCTACTACTAGCCATATACCCTGAGGAAACCAAAATTGAAAAAGTCACATGTACCCCAATGTCCACTGCAGCACTATTTACAATAGCTAGGAAATGGAAGCACGCTAGATGTCCATCTACAAATGAATGGATAAAGAAGCTGTGGTACATATATTCAATGGAATATTACTCAGGCATAAAAAGGAACACATTTGAGTCAGTTCTAATGAGGTGGGTGAACCTGTACAGCCTATTATACAGAGTGAAGTAAGTCAGAAAGCGGAAAACAAATGTCATATATCAATGCATATATATGGAATGTAGAAAGATGGTACTAATGCACCTATTTGCAGGGCAGCAGTGGAGATGCAGACATAGAGAACAGACGTATGGACATGGGGTGGGGTGGGGGAGAAAGGAGAGGGTGGGACGTACGGAGGGAGTAACATGGAAACATATACACTACCATGTGTAAAACAGACAGCCAGTGAGAATCTGCTGCATGACCCAGGGCACTCAACCCGGGCTCTGTGAGAACCGAGGGGGGTGTGGTGGGGAGGCCAGAGGGTGGGAGGTTCAGGCGGGAGGGGACACAGGTATACCTCCGGCTGACTCGTGTTGGTGTTTGGCAGACCAGCACAATGCTGTAAAGCAGTTATCCTTCAATTAAAAATAAGTAAATTTAATTTAAAAAAATTTTAAACTACTCTCTTAGCAACTTTCAAATATACAGTATTGTTAACTGTAGTCACTATGATGTACATTGCACCCCCAGGGCTTATAACTGGAAGTCTGTGCCTTTTGACCATCTTCACTTATTTTATCTACCCCCAACCCCCCATCTCTGGCAACTACCAATCTGTATGATGTTGATTGTATCTATTAATTTTTTTCTGGAGTCCACATATAAGTGATATCTCTGTCTGACTTATTTCACTTAGCATAATGCCCTTAAGGTCCATCCATGTTATTGCAAATGGCAGAATGTTGCCCCTTTTTAATGGCTGAATAATGTTCCATTATGTCCCTATACAAACATTTTCTTTATCCATTCATCCACTGACGGACACTTTGGTGATTTCCATGTCTTGGCTATTATAAATAATGCTACATTGAATGTGGGGTGCAGATACCTTTTTCAGGTATTTATTTCATTTCCTATTTTTACTATTTTGATGTGTATCTTCTCAGGCATTTTTCTATTAGATCATTTTCACTGTAAAGTATTTTTAATATCAGTTGTAGCTTAAAAGGTAATTAATACTTGATTTCAATTCTGAAAACAGAAACATAGTAATAATCCCTAATGAGAACTCTAGACTCTTATCCCTGAAATTAGATCAAATTTATTCTATGTGCCCCATTTTCTCTTTTTTAAATTTACTTTTAATTGGAGGATAATTGCTTTCCAAGGTTGTGTTGGCCTGTTTTCTCTTGTTAGTTTATATAGAAATGTTATATGATATAAACATATATAAACACGTACCTTTCTCACTAACTTTTAAGCACTAAAAATCATTATTAATTGATTTTATTTGGGTTTATTTAGAGAGCTTTTGAACCAACTCAGATATTTTCTTCCTCTCAGAGTTCTATTTGAAGACTCAGTACACCTTGGTTTCAGATGCTTTTGCAAGCAGCTTTTCTTTAACCTTTCACGTGTCAGTCGCTCAGTCATGTTTGATTCTTTGTGACCCCATGGTCTATAGCCTGCTGGGCTTCCCCGTCCATGGAATTTTCCAGGCAGGAATACTGGTGTGGGTTGCCATTTCCCTCTCCGGGGGCTCTAACCTTTAGGACATACCTTTAATTGCCAGCTCAGAATGTGCCCCAAAGGAGTTACCTTCTCAGCATTTCAAGTTAGTTATCTAAGCCCTCTCTCTGGATGTTTTGCATATTCCCATGTGAAAGAATGAAGGAGAGAAAAACAATAATTTGTTTTTCAGGTCTTTCTAGACCTTGTGATTATCTTTACCCAGTGAGAGGTTTGCTTGACTGGTGGCTTCTTCCCACTCATCCTGGTAGTTTAATAAAGCCTACTATTTGATGTCTTTAGTATTCTTTCAGCAGACTTCCAGTTCACTCCCAGACCTGCTTCTTCTTTTTAAAGAATCCTATTTAAAGAGTACATATTTTGGGAATTCCCTGGCAGTGTAGTCAGTTGTGACTGTTTCACTGCCACGTGGATGCTAAGTTGCTTCAGTCGAGCCTGACTCTGTGCGACCCTGTGAACTGCAGCCCGCCAGGCTCCTCTGTCCGTGGGGTCTTCCAGGCAAGAATGCTGGAGCGGGTTGCCACTTACTTCTCCAGGGGATCTCTCCGACCCAGGGATTGAACCCGGGTCTCTTATATCTACCTGCTCTGGCAGGCAGGTTCTTTACCGCTAGTGCCACCTGGGACGCCCCTTCACTGCCAAGGGCCTGGCTTTAATCCCTGGTCAGGGATTCTGGGATCCTACAAGCCTCACGGCCAAAAAACAACAAAAGACTATATATTTTAAAACATGTAAATGTGATATAGCATCTTTTAAAAAATAATTAGTATTTATTTACTGGCCGTGCTGGGTCTTCGTTGCTGCACGGGCTTTTCTCTAGTTGTGGTGAGTGGGGGCCACTCTCCAGTTGAGGTGCGTGGGCTTCTCATTACGGTAGCTTTTGTCGCGGAGCACAGGCTCTGCTGCACATGGAATCCTCCTGGACAAGGGATCAAACCCGTATCTCCTGCATTGGCAGGCGGGTTCTTTACCTCTGAACTACCAGGGAAGCGCAGGATTTTTTTTTTTTAACTTTTTATTTTGTATTGGGGTATGCCATCACCGATTCGATGGACAGGAGTTTGAGCAAGCTCGGGGAGATGGTGAAGGACAGGGAAGCCTGGTGTGCTGCAGTCCATGGAGTCACACACAGCTGAACAACAACAAATAGCTGATTAACGGTGTTGTGATAGTTTCCGGTGCACAGCAAAGGGACTCAGCCGTACATGTACACGTATCCACTCTCCCCCAGATGCTCCTCCCATCCAGGCTGCCACAGAACATTGAGCAGAGTTCCATGTAGCATCTTGAAGACTCAGCTGATTTCTCTATTTCCTAGTCCTGCCCGCTCCTTGCTTCTAACCTCTCCTGTCTGGTACAGTCTCCTGTCTGAAAGCCCTGATCCCAGGCCTTCTGCCTGGTCCTCCCAGGACTTTCCCCTTCTCCTGGTGGAAGGCAAGATCTTTGTTGAATACAGGTAGCTTTCACATTCGGTTCTCTCTGTCCCACAGATGCTCTGAAAACGATGCCCGGCTGGGCCTCTGTGCGCATTCCAATGAGGCCGTGCCTGCTGCTCCAGGTAAGCCCCCGGTGTCCATCTGTTTTGAAAAACAAGAGCTAAGAAATTGAAGTCTCTGTTGAGATCTTGAGGAACCTTCACGGGGACTCTGGGGTTGATGAACCCTTTCCTTAGACTAAATTCATAGAAAGAACAACCATAAATCACTACCACTTCTGGAGTGCTTTCTGTATGCCAGGCATTTATTTATTAAGCCACATTTGTGTGTGCATGGGCTTCCCTGGTGGCTCGGTGGTAAAGAACCCGCCTGACGATGCAGGAGCTGCAAGTTTGATCCCTGGGTCAGAAAGAACCCCTGGAGAAGGAAATGGCAACCCACTCCAGTATGCTTGCCTGGGAAATCCCAGAGACAGAGGAGCCTGGTGGGCTATAGTCCATGGGGTTGCAAAGAGTCGGACGTGACTTAGTGACTAAATGACAAATGTGTGCACGTGTGTATGCATATGTATTTGTATATACATGCTCACTTTCAATCTCCAGATGTAATACATTTATTATTTGATATTATATATTTATTATTAAATATAAATAATAAACGAGGAATTTATTATTTACATTTAACTGATGAGAAAACTTGGGCTTAGAAGTTAAGCATCTTGCCGTAAGTCACACAGCTAGTAAGTGGTAGAACTGGGGTTAGAGATGCTGACAGAGTGATAGATTTCTCCTCAGCCCCCTCTGCCCACCCCCTGTGGCCTCTTCCCTGAGAAGGAGGCCTGTAATTGTCCTCAGATGGTGTGGGAGGCAAAAAGGAGCCTTCCATCCCCCACCCCTCACACCAGCTTGAAGAGCATCCCTGGTCCCCACCTAGCATCCCTCTGCTCTTCCCAGGGGAAGGACTTCACGCCAGCTACGTCATCGGTGGACTCCTCAGCGTTCTGCTGATTCTGGTGGTGATTGCGGCTTTGATGCTATACAGGTAACCTCAGCCCTACTGCAGGGGCCACATGTTGGCTGAGGAACCCCATTAGCACGTTTGGGACCTCCTTGAAGCTGCCCACTCACTGATTCAGCTTCTGACCAACCTCATTTCAAAGCTGGGTCCCTGGGCAGAGCAGCAGAAGGGAAGGGCAGACACCTGACTATACCCTTCTTCCCCAGGCACACCACAGGTCATTTCCTCATTTCATGACCCCAGCAACCCTCGGGATTTTCCTTATGGACTAGGATACTGAGGACAGGGGATGTCACCCAAGGTCACAGAGTAAGAGGCAGAGCTGGCACTCATCTAGCATCTTTGCTTTTTGCCACCATCCCACACTGCCTCAAACCATTGAAGCTGGAAGTGATTTTCTCTTCACGCAAACACAACCCTGTATGACAATGTTGGGTGATGTGTCATTGCTCAGTAGGAGTCCTCCTGGGAATCCTAAATTTCAAGTTATAATATTTTTTTATCACTCTCTCTCTCTATATTTTCCCCTAAGTGCTTTAAGTGCAACTCACGCAAAAACGTCTTTCTGCTAATAACAACAGCTACAATAGTAATGGGCTTCCCTTATAGCTCAGTCGGTAAAGAATCTGCCTGTAGTGCAGGAGACCCGGGTTCGAGTCCTGGGTTGGGAAGATTCCCCTGGAGAAGAAAATGGCAGCCCACTCCAGTATACTTGCCTGGAGAATCCCACAGATAGTGGAGCCTGGCAGGCTACAGTCCATGGGGTCGCAAGAGTCGGACACGACTTAGCGACTGAACCACGACTACAACAGTAATAATAGTAACAGCTACCATTTAATGAATGTGTCTCAATGCCACCACCACCTTATAATACAGGTATTATTGTTCCTCACTTTACAGATGAGGATCTAAGGTTCAGAAAGTTTAGATTATGTCCACCAACATCCCTAACAGCTACTAAGTAACAGAAGTGGGATTGAAACATAGGTCTGTCTCGACACTAAAGCTTGGCGTATTCGTTTTCTATTGCTGTACAACATTAACCCCAAACTTAGCCACTTAAGAGTGACAACCAGTGATTACCTCACAGTTTCTGTGGGTCAGAAATCTGGGTGCAACTTAGCTGGTGCCTCCGCCTCAGGCTGTCACACGAGGCAGCAGTCCAGGTGTCAGCCAGGGTTCCAGTCTTATCTTGAGACTCGACTGGAAGAGGAAGGGCAAGGATTCCCTTCTGAGCGCAGGGTATAATTCCTTGCAGGCTGTGGGCTGGAGGCCTCTCTCGTCTGTTCCTTGCCTCGTGGGCCTTTGCATAGAACAACTTGCAACATGGCAGCCTGCATCCCTCAGAACAGAAGTGGGAGAGAGACTGGGAGGGAGGGCAAGCCGAGAGGGAAGCCAGCTTCCTTGTCAGGAGTTTCCTTGTAACCGAATCTAGTATCCCGCACTTTTCTACGTTCTGTTCACCAGAAGCAAGCCAGCAGGCCCAGCTCACGGGCAGGGACTCAGGAGGTGTGAGAACCAGGGGACGGGGCCCGCTGTGAGGCTGCCTGCTGCGTGTGGGTGACAGCTTCCCCAGCTATCCTCCCCGTACAGATCTGAACTAATTCCTCATCCCCTTTTCTTCCAAAGACACAAAAAGTCCAAGTTAACTGACCCTGCAATGGGGAACCTGACCTACAGCAACCCCTCCTACCGAACTTCCACTCAGGAAGTGAAGATTGAAGTGACCCCCAAACCGGCCATGTACAATCAACTGTGTTATAAGAAAGAGGTAAACATGAAGTCTTGTATCTGAGAGTTTGTTTCTGGAGGGGCCGGGGGATTACACTCCAGTTGCCTGAGCAGGAAGGCCGCAGGCAGGGATGCTGGGTGGTCCTGGCATCTTGGGAGCGACGGTGAACAGAAGAATGGAGTGTGATTTGGGTCTCTGGAGAGGTCGGCAGCTTGTGAGGGACCAGCTTGAGGGGCCCTGGTGGGAGCAAGGTTAGAAAGCGGATCCCAGGGACGTCCCTGGTGGTCCAGTGGTTGGGACCTCACCTTCCAACACAGAGGGTGTGGGTTTGATCCCTGGGCAGGGAACTAAGATCCCACGTGCTTTGGGGTCAAAAACCTAAAACATAGAAATGGAAGCAATACTGTAACAAATTCAATTTAAAAACTAAAAAGAAAGAAAGCAAGCAGATCCCAGGAGGTGTAGGTCTGAAAGCATGTGGGTATGTACCTCCCTGCCCAAACACGTTTTCCCGGGCTCAGATGTTCCTTCCCTTCTAGAGCTGTCATCCCCTAGCAGTGAGGCTGTGCCCCTTTAAAGTGACCCCAAACTCCTAGAACTCCTGGGCTCCCCCTTTCTAACCTCTGATCCAAGCTGTTGGCACCCAAGCTGTAGTTGGGAACGGCTGGTGCTTTGCTCTTCTTCCTTTTATCACAGAATCTAAAGGAATTTCTCTAGAATTCTGAAAGTTTATGTGCTTTTGTTCTTTTAACTCCTTTGTTGTGAAAAACTATTTGCTGAATGTTTAGGCATGAAAAATAGCCCCTCGTCAGTTTCAGTGAGGGACTATAACTGAGGACTTTTGATTTTCCTAGTCTAATATGACTCTTGTTTTTTTCCTAAAACCCTGCAACCCTTCATTAGAAATTATCCTATATGGGACCATATGAGATTCTCTTGGCTTGTCTAGCACAGTCAAAACCAGCCCTCACACCGACAGGGCTCCTCTGCATAACTAATATGCTGTACATTATAAGCATGTGATTTCAGGATCCACGAATTCCCCTATTAAAAAAACCTTCTACTACAAGCCAAAACAGAACCTGTAGGGATAGCTTGCAGCTTCAGGGATGACAGACCCCCTTCTCTATTAATATCTTTGAGAGAAAGACTCTTGAAGCTTCTTGGGCTCCTGGCATGTCTGATGCCCCCAGAAAGGAACCCCAATGAGGGCCCTAGGTTAGACATTAAAATCATGTGACTCCTTCTCCTGTTGTATGCTTTTTCCTCAGCAGCTCTTTCACCCCTCTGATAGTCTTTCACCCTTTCTCTTCTGATTTCCTCTTCATTTCAGGTACCTGTTGCTGTGTGTTTGTAGAGGGAGTGGTATCCCCCATTGCTAGTGCCATGTCAGCCACTCTTCCTGACTCACCCCCGTGCCTCTGTGATGAGGACACAGTGCTCTGCATCTTATCTGACACTAATCCGGCGTGGAGCATGTGCTTGGAGACTGGGCATGTGTGTGCGCGCCTGTGGGCTTGTGTGCTGTGTCTCTCTCTGCTTGATTGAGGGAGCTGTGACTCCCAGAGGGCAGGGACCATATTTTATGTTGTGTAACCATCAAAGCATCCTGCTTATTGTAGGGGCTCAATAAATATCTGTGGAATTGAATTGTTACTAAAATAAAGCAGCAGTTGCAGGGCTCTTGGCAGGAACACTATCCCAGGGACAGAACCCAAGCCATGGCTCATTTTTCTCTCGGCAGTGGTGGCATGTTGGTTGGTATCCTCCAGAAACCAGGAGTAAGGCTATCCTTTGAGGAATCCAAAAAGGGAGAAGCCTGAGCAGAACTTAAGGCTTCCTTGGAACGATCCCTGGTTGCTTGAGAATGGCCCCAATGCTCATGGGAGCAGAGTCAGAATAACCTCACACAAAAGCTTATAGGTTACAGGACCCCAGTGGATTGACACTTAGAACCCAAATGAAAGGGTTTTCTAGAGCCTTTCTACCTTACCTTCTGAAACTTTTCTTAAGAACATTAGAAAGAAGAGAATTAAGACTAAAACAGAACATGGAGCTATGTTCAATATCTTGTAATAAACTTTAGTGGAAAACAATATGAAAAAGAATTTTAACTGAATCACTTTGCTGTACACCAGAAACTAACACAACATTGTAAATCAACTCTACTTTAAAAACAAAAAAAGAATAAAATAGCACAAAAGTGGTTTAAAACCTTGAATAAATGAACATTTAACAGCCTCCATCAATTGCTTCTGATCAGGTATCTTAGCATGCTGTCCCATTAATAAACCACATTAGTGATGTGACAATAGCTAACATGATTTAGTGCATGTTATGTTAGCTTTTATGTGTTAGGCACCTACTAATTGCATTTCATGGATCACCTCTTTTGATGCTCACAGCCATTGGTTATGAGGTATGAATCCTGTTGCTCTAAAGAGGTGAGCCTGAGGTTGGGAGATGTTCAGTGATTCGCCCCAGGTGACGCAGCCAGTGTGTGGCTCACGCAAGGCCGGGAAGTCGCGGTCCTCCCACCTCCCCGTATGATAAATGGTAACGATGGTCAAAGCTGCTCCTTTCCTTTTAGGCTCAGCCTTATACATTGGCTCTGACTAAATGTCCCCGTTTGTCTGTGAGATCTTTGCACTCTTCGCACCCACTCCTCCTCCATCTACCCACTTCAGAGAGAGCTGATCAATTGACTGTGTCTCTCCGCTCTCCACCCCAGGGTGGACCTGACCATAACTACACCAAGGAGAAGGTCAAGATTGTCGAGGGCATCTGCCTCCTGTCTGGCGACGATGCCGAGTGGGATGACCTCAAGCAACTGCGCAGCTCCCGGGGGGGCCTTCTTCGGGATCACGTGTGCATGAAGACAGACACCGTGTCCATCCAGGCCAGCTCTGGCTCCCTGGACGACATGGAAACGGAGCAGCTGTTGCAGGAAGAGCAGTCCGAGTGCAGCAGCGTCCACACCGCAGCCACTCCTGAAAGACGGGGCTCCCTGCCCGACACAGGCTGGAGACATGAACGCAAGCTCTCCTCGGAGAGCCAGGTCTAAATGCCTCGTTCCCCTCCCTGCCTCTTCCTTCTCCTTGGTGGACTCCCGGTCCTCGTGCTCGCTTGTACGGCAGGCCCCTTTCCTCTGTGCTGGTCCTGCTCCTCCTCCTCCCACCCCCATTAACTGCTCCCCGAGCCCTCTGCGCGAGCTGTTTCCATCCGAGTTCGTACCTACCTGTGCACCAGAAATGATGGGGCAGCCTCAGAATTTAGACCTGGACTGTACCACGAACCTCACCTCCTGCAGTCCATCCTGAGCCCCCCCACCCCCACCCTGCCGCCCCGAAACCAGGCCTGGTAACGATTCCTCATCATTACAGAGCTCCACCTCCATCCCCTGGTACCCTCACTGCCTGCCCCGCCAGAGCTGATGACCCAGGAAGGCACTCCCCCCATCAGAGCTGGCCTGACCGCTTCTCCAGGAGAACTTGCTGAATGGGGGCTGGAATCGGGGGCTGGGGTCATGTCCAGAGAGAGAGATGAAGGATAGAGGCTGAGAGGAGGAGGAGTAAGCCCAGCTGGCATGGGCATCTGGGGAACCTCCAGCCTTGAGGGTGTTGGCAACATGAAAAAGCTTTCAAGGGTGATTGGGCCGGGTGGCCTGTCCATTGCCGGCAGTGGATATTATTCGTGCCCTGAGAGTTGTTTTTCCAGCTGCAGGCATTGAAGAAATCTATCTGGGTCTGGCTCAAGCTGTTCTTCCTTCTGCCAGAATGCCTGGAGCCTTTTCTACCTTCAGATGACTGAGGGTGGGGGTGGGGAGTCCCTATCACAGGGCTGCTGGCTAATACGAATCCCCTCCTGCTGCCTCCAGGTTGTGAGCCAGTGGCTTGAGTAGGTGTGGGGGCCCTCAGCACGGGGTCTCTGCCATGTCTGAGAAGTGCTTCTTAGGCCAAACATAGCACATCTCCTGAACTTTTAACGTCCTGCCACTCTCTTCCCTCATTCTCTGGGATTCTGAGCACAGAGATCCTGGAGCAACTTCTCAAAGGAGGGTCATTAAGTTCAACAAATGGCTGGGAAGAGCGATCAGGTCAGAGACTCGAGGCCCCCAGGGCCTAAAGTGAAGTGTCCATGAAGCTAAGTCTCTTGCGTTCTCTCAGGTGCTCAGGGATCTAAGCGAGTGGACAGGAGCCTGCAGCTGGGGGCGCTGAAGTTCCCACTCCAAGTCCTCCCGGCTAGGTGACTCCCTTCCCTGCTGAGATGCTGTCACTGGGTTCATGCTTATTCACAGAAAAGGCACGTATGTCACACAAATGTTGGCGGAACTGAGACTTCTTACTGTCCTAAACTTCTACCTAGCTCTTCTGGGTTTTGTTTGTTTTTTTCAGTGCCTAATGTGCTTATTCTGATCTAGCCTTGTGGGCACCTGTGGCCAAGAGGCCTAAATAAAGATGCAAAGTGTGTGTGTCAGGAGGGCAAGGAGTAGAAAGGTAGAGAGAAACACTGAGGAGGCCCTTTCAGCCCAGGGCACATCCAGACCTCTTCCACCCAGGGATGAGAAGCCACAACAGGAGCTGAGGATGGATGGGGGTGCCTCGAGGCTGAGTTTCCAAATCTGAAACATGTCCTGGGGCTCCTGGCATTGAGAAATCAGCCGCCAAACATGAGTGAAAAGGGAAGACCAGAGCTAACCCTTTCCTGTCGGTTCTGAGATCACTTGAGACAGGTGCCAGGCTCTTAGCCCTGCTCTCGGTAGCCAGCCCCAGGTCTGGATCCTCAAAGGACAGCCAGGCCAGGCCAAGCAGGATCTCCCAGAACACAAAGTAGGAAAAGAAAGGTTCCCCCTCCTGGGAGGAAAGAGGGACATTTCACATTTGACGGGGCAGTAAAAGGAGGAGCACTTTGGGTCCTCGGATTTGGGGATGGGGAGAGAAAGTAGCCAAACGGTATCTTCTCACATGGAAAGGGGGAAGGATCTTATTGCACTTGGGCTGTTCAGAATGTAGAAAGGACATATTTGAAGAAATATCTATTTGAGCACTGATTTACTATGTAAAAAGCAAAATCTCTCTGTCCTAAACTAATGGAAGTGATTCTCCCACGCTCACGTGTAATGGTTTTAACGTTACTCACTGGAGAGATTGGACTTTCTGGAGTTATTTAACCACTATGTTCAGTATTTTAGGACTTTATGATAATTTAATATAAATTTAGCTTTTCTTAATCACCTTGCCTGGCTTGGAGTCATGACTAGTAACTGCACCTGCTCTGTCTGACTGAAACATGCTGTGGAGACCTGCTTGCAGACATCACCACTAAGCCCTCTGGGGATGTGAAGAGCGATAAAAGGTGGGAGGTTTCTGGCTGGAGGTTCAGCTCATCTTGAGAAGACAGGTTAAGACCAGAGTTCATTGGCTTCTGAAATCCTGATGCCCTCTAGAGCAGGGTGGCTGGAAGGTTTCATTGTGAGTGCCAACTCTGGTTGGTCATGGCTGCCCGAGGTTCTGTCCAGACCCAATGGAAAAAACTGTCCTGATGGTTAGTGGAGCCTTCTTTGAACACTGAAAGGAAGCGTCATGGCATGTATGGCCATGACATACATTCTATTTCTGTTCTAGGTCTAAGAGGACTTTGGTGTCACAGAACTTGAATTCACCTCGCAGGGATGGTCACTGGCAAGACTGTTTGATGTCTTAAAAGAAAAGCAGTGGGATGGGGACAAGGAGGGCTAATTCCGGTCCCAGGTCTACCACTAGCTCTGTTTGATCTTAGTTGTGTTTCACAGTTACTCTGAGAATGGGTCAAATGAACTAAAATTCCTTTTGTTTTTAAGAAGCTATCTACTCATAGCCCATCCATTACATCTCAAGGCTAGAACAAGGCATTGGGGAATCCCATTTCAGCCTCTGGACATAATACCTTTTGATGAAGATTGGGAATCATGCAAGTCTTAATGTCAGATACAGAATTTGATGTCAGGGGTCAATAGTTGATTTTCTAAGCCACAAACCATTTATAGACTATTGTTCCCATTCATTCATCCATTTATTCATCTGCTAGGGGCTGGACACTGCCCAAGCATGACCAAGAAAGACAATATCACAGAGCTTAGAGTCCACCAATACCACCCCACCCCCCTCAAAAAACAAAAAGGAAGCAAGAAGGACCGAATCCTTTTGTATATAAGTGATGAGATCTGAGTATAAACTGTCATGTGTATTTCTTCTAACTTTGGTGAGGGATTGGTGTGCTAGAACAAAAACAAGTAGAACATCTCAAGGATAACCATCCACCATTCTGTTTTGGGGAAGAAAAAAAAATCACAACAGAGGGGAAAGGAGGACATTTGAAGAAATGAAATCCAGTCTAAGGCACAAGCCTATATACCTGTAGGAAGTGCCCCTTTCCAGAGCCTCAGAATTACAGGCCAACGCTATGAACAGTGACCGCTAGAGCTGGGAAGTCAGGAAGAACTTTTCAAATGGGGAGAAAAAAATGAATGCATTGAACACACACCATTTGCCTGGAAAACTGGATGTGTTTCTGGAAGAAGAAAATTTGGTGATGCATTTTGCTAACCTGTGATTGTCCTGCTGCCTCAGCAGGAGGTGGCAGAGGAGAATGGGGTTGGCCTGATGGCCCAGGTCGTGACAAGAATTTGACCAGTGGCAAGTGAGAATTCTGTAACAGCGTCAGGGACTAGCACCCTGTTTTCATGTATGCTCACTCTTAGCTTCCTGATCAGTAAAATGAAAAGGTTGAACCAGATGATTGCTGAGGTCCTTTCTGGCCTGAGACTTGTATGTATGTTCCTTCCAGGAAATCTTGGGGCTGAAACAAGAGTTGAGACTTCCTTGTCTGGTTTTCTGGATATAAAATCTAGAACTGCTAAGTAGGGAGATAATGAGTCAAGTTCTAACCAACTGGACACATTTTTGCAAACTATTAATAGTTATGTTCAAAATACAGTCACTGCCTTTCTTTCTATATTATTTGAGCAAATTGTGCAACCGAAGATGAATCAGTTCAGTTCAGTAGCTCAGTCGTGTCTGACTCTTTGCAACCCCACAAATTGCAGCACACCAGGCCTTCCTGTCCATCACCAATTCCTGGAGTCCACCCAAACCCATGTCCATTGAGTCAGTGATGCCATCCAGCCATCTCATCCTCTGGCGTCCCCTTCTCCTCCTTACTGAGTGTTACTTTTGTGCCAGGCACCGCTGTCACCTCTGGGATTAGAGCGAACAAAACCGACCAAGTCTCATGGAGCGAATCTGCTAAGGTCAGTGGAGGAGGAGGGTGTGGCATGAAGACAGGCAATAAACAAGCCAATGGATTCCCTTCAGGGCTTGACAAGCATTCTCTAGAGGAAAAAAGGGCAGGATGATCCGACAGCGTGACCAGCTGGGGATGGGGACATGAATGACAAGGGGAAATATTTGAGGTAGTTATATGAGGCCTCAACCATGCAGCCGATTGGGATAGGATATTTAGGCAAAGGAAGAGGAAACAGCACGTTCAAAGGTCCTGGGGTGGGAATGCTTAAGGTATGTTTGAGGGTCCAGTTCAGTTCAGTCACTCAGTCGTGTCTGACTCTTTGCAACCCCACGAACTGCAGCACACCAGGCCTCCCTGTCCATCACCAACTCCCGGAGTCCACCCAAACCCATGTCCATCGAGTTGGTGATGCCATCCAACCATCTCATCCTCTGTCGTCCCCTTCTCCTCCTGCCCTCAATCTTTCCCAGCATCAGGGTCTTTTCAAATGAGTCAGCTCTCTGCATCAGGTGGCCAAAGTACTGGAGTTTCAGCTTCAACATCAGTTCTTCCAATGAACACCCAGGACTGATTTCCTTTAGGATGGACTGGTTGGATCTCCTTGCAGTCCAAGGGACTCTCAAGAGTCTTCTCCAACACCACAGCTCAAAAGCATCAATTCTTCGGCGCTCAGCTTTCTTTATAGTCCAATTCTCGCATCCATACATGGCCACTGGAAAAACCATAGCCTTGATTAGACAGACCTTTGTTGGCAAAGTAATGTCTCTGCTTTTTAATATG